TTATAAAAGCTTCACTTATTTAATAAGTCTCCTGTTTAGGAAGGGCCTACAAATTTCAATAAAGTTTAAATTAGGTGAGGAAGGGGCAAGGTCTATATTCTTTCATCTTTTATGCATGAAATGGAGCACTGTCCTGCATAAATATCATGGTCTTCTTGAAAAATGTAGATTCTTTCCTGTACTATGGCTTGAAGAAAGTGTCTCCGAAAAATGTGCCAGTAGGTTTTGGAGTTCATTTTAAGTCCACCTTCAACCCAAAAAAAATACCAACTAACTCCTTTTTTATTACCACCAGGCCATACCAGTACCCCATCTCCACCTTGCTGGCACCCGAGTTGGAGTGGAGCACTGTGCCCGTTACAGATTCAGTCCATCCATATGGTCTGCCAAGAGCCACTCATCTCATCAGTCCTTAAAACCTTTGGAAAAGAAAAAAAAATATATCTTCTGATATTTCATGGCTCAGTCTTGACATTTCAACTTATGTCCTGAGAAAGATATTTTATAATTGTTGACTTTTCGTAGTCGGTTAAATCTTTTTGGCCCATTTGGCCTGAGAAAAAAAAGCCTAATTATACGCATCTTGATATAGGATGTTCATCTCCTTAGGCTACACCCTTCTTCATTACACAAATACACATCACTTAATATGCTTAAATCCAATAAGCATTCAAGTTAAAAACAGCTTGGGGTTGGACAACATGCATAGAAATGATGATTTGCTCAAAATACTTGCCTAATAATTGTGCACACAGTGTAATGCACTTGGGGGGCTAAAAAATATGCACACAAAATTACTCGCTAGGGGGAGAACCTCTGGGGCATCGAGGCTGGAAAAGATCTGGGGGACCTAGTAGGTGAAAGGTTCAACAAAGGCATGCAATGCCTAGCTGCAGCAAGCAAAGCTAGCAGAATATTAGCATGTATTAAAAAGGGAATTACTGCAGAGATAAAAGTATAATCCTGACACTTTATAAAACTCTGGTTCAGCCACAACCGGAATATGCCATCAGTCCTCAGGACAGGAGGGAGGTGCAGGGAATGGAGGTAGTCCAGAGAAGGGCAACAAAGTTAATAAGGTGACCGGAGGACCTCAGTTACGAGGAACAGCTACAAACATTAAACTTATTCTCCTTGAAGAACAGCTACTTGAGAGGGGATATGATAGCGATATAAAAATACTTCAATGGAGATTCTAGCATAAGGAATAAACTACTCTCAGTCTCATGCTGGCCTCTTAATGAAATTGCAGGAGAAGCAGTTTAACCTTAAACTGCTCAACCACCTCCCGTCCAGCCGTTGTATATGAACGGCTGGACAGTGGAAGTGCAAGGTCGGGTGCAAGGCTTGTGTGCGCTCCCTCGTAGCGCGCAGCACCGCAATCCGGTGTCCGCTGTGTCCTCCGGACACAGTGGAGCACCGATCGTCGGACGGGACCTCTGTGCTAGGTCCTGATCATGTGATCACTGATTGGCCAATCTTTGATCACATGCAGAGTAGTAAGCAAGATGTCACTTCCGACATCATTGCTTACTACGTGTGAAATCTGTGAATGATCACAAAGGTCACATGGTACAAGGCTATTCACAACATTCTTGTACCATGTGACAAGCTGTGACCAATCACAACTCACACAGTATATATATATATATATATATATATATATATATATATATATATATATATATATATATATATATATATATATATATATATATATATATAACAATAAAAAAAAAAACCGTAAAAAAAAAAGTTTAAAAATTATAATTTTTGGTTATAAACTAATTTGGGTTATTTTTTTTTACTAAAAAGATAAAACAGAATAAATGTTGGCCAAGATTTATGATGAAATATTATTTGCAAAATTTTATAAGAAACACTTTTTTTCAAAATTTTTGGACTTTCATTTACCGTATTTTTTGCTCCATAAGACGCACTTTTTTCCCCCAAAAAAAGGGGGGAAAATGTCAGTGTGTCTTATGGAGCGGCTGGTCCGGTATTCCCATCGCCGCCACGTCAGAATATCGGGCCGGCCGCTCATCTCTTCTCTGCAGCAGGAGCTTACTTGTTCCTCGGACCAGCGCTGCGAAGGCTTCCCGCTTCGGCATCTTTAGTGTGGGCTCTCGGCTGTGACAGCCGGGTGCCCAGTGCGCATGCGCGAGAAGCGCTGCGCTTTGTGAATAGTACGGCGTCTTCTGGGACATGACAGCCTCTAAAGTCTCTTCCCCAATGCCCAGCTAACACTTAACCACTTGCCCTTCGGAGGATTTACCCCCTTCGTGAACAGGCCATTTATTGCGATACGGTGCTGCGTTACTTTGACAATTGTGTAGTCATGCAACGCTGCACCAAATTAACTTTATGTCCTTTTTTCCTCCACAAATAGAGCTCTCTTTCACCGCTATTGATCACCTCTGTGTTTTTTACATTTTTTGCGCTATAAGCAAAAAAACAACAATTTTGAAAACACACACACCTATTTTTGATTTTTTGCTATAAAACAACCAGTTAAAAAAATAAAAATTTTGTCATAAATTTAGGCCAAAATGTATTCTGCTACGTCTTTGCTAAAAAAAAAAAATCCCAATACATGTAAATTAATTGCTTTACGTGAAAGTTATAGCATCTTAAAGTGATGGCATATATAGTGGAATTTTTTTTTTTTTTATACTACAGTAGTAATGGCGGCGATCAACAACTTATAGGGGGACTGCACTGTGCATTCTGACATTGGGGGGAACGGACTGCCTGCCACTGACATCCACAATGACACTAAAACAGTGAACAGTGCGAATAAAAAGCACTGACACTGTACTAATGACAATGGGCAGGAAGGGGTTAACATCTGGGTGAATCAAAGGGTTAACCGTGTGCGGTTTTACCATGCATGCTGTTTTTTTTTTTTTACTAGGGAAACAAAAACTAATACATCATAAATGCCCTAGGAGCTGTTAAGGTGTATAAATAACACATCACCATTGAAATCAGGTGGTTGACAGGCATTGATTGCCACATGAAAGCATCATGCTGCTTAAAGTGGTTAAGACATGAAATATGAACAATACATATCCCTCTATAGTGTGTACTTACAACTTAGAGCACTAAGTGTCACTTATTTCTGCTGCTTTATTCCTCTGCTACCAGCATGAGTCACATCTGAAATGTTTTCCCGAGGAGAAAAATGGTGACAGGAGGGACCTCCAGCAGGATGACAGCCTCAGCTCCGTCCCTGTGAGCTGTGTGGAGGGGGCTGTGTTTCTTCCCTCCAATTAGCTCTCAAAACTCTCCCCACTGAGCTCTTCCAGCCCACCTACATTCAGAACTTATAAATGTGATTCCGGATCATCCGCAAATCGGGGACTTCTACATGCTGCCCAAAATTCACAAGCCAGAAAATCCAGGCAGACCCATCATAACACATACACTCACCGAACAAACCTCAGGCTTTGTAGAAAATTTTTTTTTAAAACCGTTAGTCAAGAATACTGCTAGTTTCCTGCAAGACACAACTGACTTTCTGAACAAGATCAACAACATACAGCAATTACCATCTAATACACTTCTAGTGACTATAGATGTAGTATAGTAATATCCCTCACAAGGATGGATCAGCTGCATGTCACAGATCCTTATCCTCACCAAACCACAAATACACTGCTGAGGATGTTACACAGCTCATTGAATTCATACTTACACACAACTACCATATTTGCCGGCGTATAAGACGACTGGGCGTATAAGACGACCCCCTACTTTTCCTGTTAAAATATAGGGTTTGAGCTATACTCGCTGTATAAGACTACCCCTCTTCCAACGCGCCCCATCATTGGTGTCAGTGGGGAGGAGGAATAGTGCCCCATCATTGGTGTCAGTGGGGGAGGAATAGTGCCCCATCGTTGGTGTCAGTGGGGGAGGAGGAATAGTGCCCCATCGTTGGTGTCAGTGGGGGAGGAGGAATAGTGCCCCATCGTTGGTGTCAGTGGGGAGGAGGAATAGTGCCCCATCGTTGGTGTCAGTGGGGAGGAGGAATAGTGCCCCATCGTTGGTGTCAGTGGGGAGGAGGAATAGTGCCCCATCGTTGGTGTCAGTGGGGAGGAGGAATAGTGCCCCATCGTTGGTGTCAGTGGGGAGGAGGAATAGTGCCCCATCGTTGGTGTCAGTGGGGAGGAGGAATAGTGCCCCATCGTTGGTGTCAGTGGGGAGGAGGAATAGTGCCCCATCGTTGGTGTCAGTGGGGAGGAGGGAATAGTGCCCCATCGTTGGTGTCAGTGGGGAGGAGGAATAGTGCCCCATCGTTGGTGTCAGTGGGGAGGAGGAATAGTGCCCCATCGTTGGTGTCAGTGGGGAGGAGGAATAGTGCCCCATCGTTGGTGTCAGTGGGGAGGAGGAATAGTGCCCCATCGTTGGTGTCAGTGGGGAGGAGGAATAGTGCCCCATCGTTGGTGTCAGTGGGGAGGAGGAATAGTGCCCCATCGTTGGTGTCAGTGGGGAGGAGGAATAGTGCCCCATCGTTGGTGTCAGTGGGGAGGAGGAATAGTGCCCCATCGTTGGTGTCAGTGGGGAGGAGGAATAGTGCCCCATCGTTGGTGTCAGTGGGGAGGAGGAATAGTGCCCCATCGTTGGTGTCAGTGGGGAGGAGGAATAGTGCCCCATCGTTGGTGTCAGTGGGGAGGAGGAATAGTGCCCCATCGTTGGTGTCAGTGGGGAGGAGGAATAGTGCCCCATCGTTGGTGTCAGTGGGGAGGAGAGGAATAGTGCCCCATCGTTGGTGTCAGTGGGGAGGAGGAATAGTGCCCCATCGTTGGTGTCAGTGGGGAGGAGGAATAGTGCCCCATCGTTGGTGTCAGTGGGGAGGAGGAATAGTGCCCCATCGTTGGTGTCAGTGGGGAGGAGGAATAGTGCCCCATCGTTGGTGTCAGTGGGGAGGAGGAATAGTGCCCCATCGTTGGTGTCAGTGGGGAGGAGGAATAGTGCCCCATCGTTGGTGTCAGTGGGGAGGAGGAATAGTGCCCCATCGTTGGTGTCAGTGGGGAGGAGGAATAGTGCCCCATCGTTGGTGTCAGTGGGGAGGAGGAATAGTGCCCCATCGTTGGTGTCAGTGGGGAGGAGGAATAGTGCCCCATCGTTGGTGTCAGTGGGGAGGAGGAATAGTGCCCCATCGTTGGTGTCAGTGGGGAGGAGGAATAGTGCCCCATCGTTGGTGTCAGTGGGGAGGAGGAATAGTGCCCCATCGTTGGTGTCAGTGGGAGGGGAGGAGGAATAGTGCCCCATCGTTGGTGTCAGTGGGGAGGAGGAATAGTGCCCCATCGTTGGTGTCAGTGGGGAGGAGGAATAGTGCCCCATCGTTGGTGTCAGTGGGGAGGAGGAATAGTGCCCCATCGTTGGTGTCAGTGGGGGAGGAACAGTACCTCATCGTTGGTGTCAGTGTGGAGGAGGAATAGTGCCCCATCGTTAGTGTCAGTGGGGGAGAGGAGCGGCTGCTCCTTCTTTAAGTTCTGCCGCTTGATTTTCGCGGGGCCGTTTGGCTCCGCCTCCTCGCCGGTGATTGGTCGCCTGTGTGCCTTTCCAGTGCTGGCGCCCAATCACCGGTGAGGAGGCGGAGCCGAGCGGGCGGCGGGACCATCGAGCGGCCGAACTGAAAGAAGGAGCAGCCGCGCTTCCTGGACCGGATCGTCGTGGGACCGGGACCGGAGCCAGGTAAGGTACAGCAGCCCCTCTGCCCACCCCTGTACTTGGTGTCCGTTGGAGGAGGAGGGGGGGCGGCGCCGCCCCTCGAAAAAGTGCCGCCCTGACACCGGCTCGCCGTATACCGGCGTATAAGACGACCCCCGACTTTTTAAAAGATTTTCACGGGTTGAAAAGTCGTCTTATACGCCGGCAAATACGGTACTTTACTTTCAAGAAAGACATCTATCTTCAATGTATGGGTACTGCGATGGGAAGTAAAATGGCACCCCAATATGCCAATTTATTTATGGCTGACCTGGAGGAAAAATTCCTGAACAGCATGGAACAAAAACCATATAGATACTATCGCTATATTGATATTTTCATCATATGGACAGAAGGTGAAGAAAACCTAAAACAATTTTACTTATTGATCAACACTTTTCATCCATCAAACTAAAAATGGAATACTCAAACACACACGTCAACTTCCTAGACACCACCAGGGATGATACGCTTCACACCTCAATATACAGGAAACCCACTGACAGATGCAACTACCTCCACAGTTCTAGCTTCCACCCCCAACACACGAAACGTGCCATCATACACAGTCAGGCCATTAGATACCACCGAGTATGTTCTGACCCAAGAGACAGAGATAAACATCTCGGGACACTAGCAGACGCCTTCCAAAAGAAAGGTTACAAGGACAAAACTATCAACACCAGCATAAACACAGCCTTGAAAACCCGAAGAGAAAATCTACTTCAGTACAACAAGAAAAAAAAAAACAACCGTGTACCTCTAGTAACCACATACAACCCAGCACTAGAAGGAATAAGAAAAATAATCAACGATTTACAACCCATCATAACAGAGGATGGAACTCTGAAAGAAATATTCCAGCAACCACCAATAATAGCTTTCAGACAACCCCCAACATCAAAAATAAACTAATCAGTAGGAAACTTCCTTCTGATAATGTCACAAATGAAAGCAAATCCAGCAATAAGAAACGCTGCAAACTGTGCAACCAAATCAATCCATCAAAAAGTGTCAGACACTCAAAAGGGATCTTCAATATCTCCGGCTCATACAGCTGCTTCTCTAGTAATGTTGTGTACCTTATCCAGTGCAAAAAATGCAGCAAAGAATCTTATGTTGGCGAAACAGGACAGAAGTTGTAAACAAGGATGAATTTGCACAAACATACCATCAAGGAACAAAAAGATGACCTTTGCACACATGTGGAACACCATTTCGCACAACCGGACCACATTATGGAAGATCTCAATGTTCTAGTTCTTAAAGGAAATTTCAAAAGCATTCAGGAAGGAAAAACTTTTGAACTAAGAATGATAATTCTATTTGACACAGGAGACAACGGCCTGAATTTGAACATGGGATACCTCAATCATTATCCAACAGTTTTATGACTATCAGCTCAAGCATGACTGCCTCTGCTAGTGTCTCCCCCCCCAGACTTTGCTTTTGCTGTATCTTATCTCGTTTTTTTTTTTTTTTTTTTTCCCCCATCCCCTACATCTCTTCCAACATTCTGCTAAATCTTTGTTTCAGTACTGCTTAGACCTGAAGGGGACATTCCCCGAAAGCTTGTCCTCAAAATTGTATGTTAGTGCAAATAAAAAAAGTATCACGGACAGTACTCAATTGTTCCTGTTGCAAATGCACTAATACGGCTACAATCACCTCTCTCCTCAAAATAACTCAACACACAGCCATTAATGTCTAAACCATTGGCAGCAAAAAGTGAGTACACCCCTAAAGTGAAAATGTCCAAATTGGGCCCAATTAGCCATTTTCCCTCCCCAGTGTCTTCTGACTCATCAATGTTACAAGGTGTGATGATGGCGGCGTCAGACCCCTGCCCTTCTCACCAAACTCGTGACTGAAGGACTAGCCAATCTAAAACTGTGCTGTCACATGTGCAACAATGCCACACCCAGCTGCATCCTGCACAATGATTTTCCAGCTAATTGGACCACAATCGATGTACCGGCAGCCTGAGCGATTGTTACTGGGTCAGGTTAATTACGCAATTAACCCTTCACACTGCCACCACCTCCTTCTTGTACAGAGAAAGGGGAAACTTGGCGATATCAGCTAAAACACTATAATGGTAGAGATAATCATCTGCATAATATGGTCACCGCAGGCCGATTATGCAGAGGGTTAAACAAACACAGTAGCATTCTCTTTTGAGGCAGGAATTCGTAAATTGCAATAAAATGCTATAGAAACAGTTCAACACTTTCAGAAGGAAAGATTTATTACTAAAAGGTCAAACGGGTGCAATAAAAATATTTACAGAAAAAGATGCAAGATATATATATAAATCTACAGAGACTCACAGCACAGCAAAGAGAGAGAGAGGTGAAAGGGTTAAGGTAATTGCCAAAGTCCTGGGTTAGCAGATCCAAGTTTCAGAGCGAAAGCGCACAGGTCTCCCCATGTGGTACAGATGTTAAAATGGGAGACGTCTTCAACTTACACTCTCCTAGGCCTGACAGCCCATTTTGTAGTTCCCTAGCAGGGGGTGTCTTTGAAGTCAAGGTCCAATACCCCATTTAGGGTGTGGAGGTCTGGACGGATACCTCAACTTGAGCCAAAATCTCTCATAACTCATATTTTGGTCCATAACTTTCCATCTGCACAAGTGACATTCCACCCGCGGGTAGATTATTATGCAGACACGTCTGAGGATTGATTAGATATGAATTATGAAATTATACACTGAACGGTTCATGAGATCTATTTTTCGGCTTTCCAATGTGTTCAAGACAAGGCGAGTGACCCATCAAATTGTTCGTCTTCTCTTAGCCAATCTGACGATATGTCTGGTTTTTATGCAAGTCTCTCATATTCCAAGATATGAGACATAGGGAAAAAATGGATTTTGAAAAGTGTTTATCTGATTCGTGCTTCGTTGGAATGCCTTGAACTCCTGGGAAGGCACTGTTAAATGGCACAGGTTGCTCAGACAGCCAGACACCTTGCTCAGAGGTGTTTTATAGCTCTGGGCTCCCTACCGTGCTCTAGCCTACCTGTGACCCTTCCAACACACATATGTCCCTGTGGATTAACAAAGAGGAAAGGGGGAAAAATGAGGGACAACATGGAGATTAACAAAATGGAGTCACTGGGTATACGCTGTTACACAAGGTCTCAGGTACGAATGGGGAGCAGGTGTTTTAAATTTAGTGTTAACGCTCTCACTCTCTCATACTGGTCACTGAAAGTTCAACATGGCACCTCATGGCAAAGAACTCTCTGAGAATCTGAAAAAAGAAATCTTGCTCTACATACTTGGCCTAGGCTATAAGAAGACTGCCAAGATCCTGAAACTGAGCTGCAGCATGGAAGCAAAGACCATACAATGGTTTAACAGGACAGGTTCCACTCAGAACAGGCCTCGCAATGGTCGACCAAAGAAGTTAAGTGCGCATGCTTAGCATCCTATCCAATGGTTGATTTTGGGAAATAGATGTACGAGTGCTGCCAGCATTGCTGCAGAGGTTGAAGGGATGGGGGGGTCAGCCTGTCAGTGCTCAGACCATACGCCACACTGCATCAAATTGGTCTGCATGGCTGTCGTCCCAGAAGGAAGCCTCTTCTAAAGATGATGCACAAGAAAGCCTGCAAACAGTTTGCTGAAGACAAGCAGACTAAGGAAATGGATTACTGGAACCATGTCCTGTGGTCTGATGAGACCAAGATAAACTTATTTGATTCAGATGGTGTCAAGCGTGTGTGGTGGCAACCAGGTGAAGAGTACCAAGACAAGTGTGTCTTGCCTACAGTCAAGCATGGTGGTGGGAGTGTCATGGTCTGGGGCTGCATGAGTGCTGCAGACACTGGGGAACTACAGTTCATTGAGGGAACTATGAATGCCAACGTGTACTGTGACATACTGAAGCAGAGCATGATCCCCTCCCTTCACAGGTTGCCACTGGAGTACTATTCCACTCCTCCATGATGACATCAGGAAGCTTGTGGATATTAGAGACCTTGCGCTTCTCCACCTTCCGTTTGAGGACGCCCCACAGATGTTCAATAGGGTTTTAGGTCTAGAGACATGCTTGGCCAGTCCATCACCTTTACTCTCAGCTTCTTTAGCAAAGCAGTGGTCGTCTTGGAGGTCTGTTTGGGGTCGTTATGTTGGAATACTGCCCTGCGGCCCAGTCTCCATAGGTAGGGGATCATGTTCTGCTTCAGTATGTCACAGTACACGTTGGCATTCATGGTTCCCTAAATGAACTGTAGCAGTTCATTGAGGGAACCATGTAAAAAATATCCTTGTAGGTCCAGTTCACGCGTTTTTTTTTTATTTTTTGTCAATCAATCCATGATGAAGGGGGCAGTCGAAAATGTGTTGACTACGTTTTAGATTGTATCCCTTATGTGTATTGCAGTAAAGTTGTATCTGGACCTCTTAGCAGTGGTGTGGTGCTTCAATTTAATTTTTTATTGCATATCCCAGAACAGGTGATCGCTTCCTGGCAGACTCAAACTGGTGAGTTCAGACTAGGATCTTAACTTGCCTGAGCTCATTTCTAGTTGCTGCTATACTCCAGGCACTCTGCTTGATTAGCTACAGCGGAGGGCATGGGGAGATACTGTGGTTCTCATAGAACCCTGATGTTTACATAAAGAGAACCTGCCACCTGTCCATGCTACCACATAGGAATCTT